GTTTTATTTAAAATATGAATAGCAGACCAGTTAAATCCATCATTAAATATAATTATATTTAATAGAGAGGTGGCGCAGCAGCATTTCAGTTATCGATGGCGCAACAAAATTTGAATTTGAGTTTTGTGATACGAATTTGTTTTTATTAAACGGCACTTTAGTTGAAATATTTTTCTTTACATTTTTGACACAAATAATATCAAGGTCGTTAATAGTAATAATTTTATAATGGATTCTAAAGAAGAAGAAAAAGAAAACCTTATTGAAAATTTGAAAATCTCACCAGCATTGCGCTCAGATACTGCAGTTAGCAAGAGAACAGAATTTGATAATGATATCGATACTGTGAAAATGGCAAGTTAACGTGTTTATTCACTGGTTAACTTAAAAAAAAATAAGAATGTGATGTTGTTTTCTTTCAGAATTTTTCCAAGCTTTTCCTTGCTAGTAGAAATTTACACTTACGCTGAAGTTATAAATAAAATAACCAGAAAATTTATAGTTTATGAGACTTGATTATGTATTAATACAAGAAATATTACTTTGTACTACTACTATGTAGTGTAAAATAAGATGAATTTTAATGTAAACAAATAATATTTTAAACTTAGCATAAGGTACTATTTTGTACATGTCATTTATGATTTAATTTGCACTTCTAAACACCAAACTCAAATACAGGACAAAGATTTTTGGTTTACAAAACCCTTCTCTGTTTCTGTAGAATGCCTCAAAATAAAAAGTATAATAATTAGTATTTTATATACTTTCTGTAAAATTCCAAATCAATCTAGAATTATTTTTGCATTTAAGAGAAAATAAAAGTAACAAAACACCTTGGTTATATCTGCCAGCCAAACTTGGCTTTTCAAACCTTATACATATACGTTGTACAAATTTGTTACATTTATCATATCATGATAATTTGTAGAATCTCATTGCAAAAAATGCTTTTCTAATGAACCTTTAGCTTATATAAATCATTGTTAAAGTGTATAAAGGTGTTACTAAAATGACTTGGAATAATACCACGAGACTGTTCCAGTCTTAGAGTTTTCTAGAAAAAAGCAAAGTTTTGGGTGTTCGTAATATTTCCACTAATTGTGAAAAAAAAAGTTATTTTGAAAACTTCATCAGAGTAATTCAATCTTTGAGCTAATGAAGCGCATGTAAGAAAAACTATCTACATCTGTATCTTCTGTTTAAAAAAAAACTCAGCTTAATAACTAATGGGTAAGACTTGTTATTAAAAACCATAATACATTTTTGAAATAGATATATCTTTTGATTAAAGTAGCTTTTTTTTTCATTGAGTGTACAGTAGAGTAAACTTTCTTTTGAAACCCTTTTCAACTATTTTGTTTGCTTAAACAAACACTGTGGAAAGCAGTGATATTGTCATAATAAATGACTAGTTTTCTGATTGGACAAACATCAGTAGCAGGGTTTCACAAAGGCTTTGCTTTTGAGTTTTACCATTGATTATTTATGCTATTACTAGTGATACAGTTAGCTATTTGATTTTTAAGATGTGTACATCTTATGATCAGCAAAAAACAATGGTATTGTAAGATTTTTACAATGCAGATGATTCTCATAATTAGCATTGAGAATTTGATTTTTCTCGTTTAACATTTTAAGTTATGAATTTGATTCTAAGGATCCTGAAAAACACCTGATTGTTTTACGTTAGGAACTTTGATGTTAAAGAAGCTAAATATTGAAAATGACCATGAAAAATATTATTTTTTCTTTAGAATATTTACCAATTAAAAACTTTACTATTATTCACATTTTTTGTCAAAGAATAAAATACTGTATGTTATTACTTCTGACTTGTTTTACTTCTTTCTATGATTCACATAAAAATATTTGATTACCCTGTCTTATGAAACTGATATGTTGCAAGTAAGGAAATGTGTGAATATTGTTGTGTTCAAGGCACTTGTGTGGATGTTGTTGTGTTCAAGGCACTTGTGTGGATATTGTTGTGTTCAAGGCACTTGTGTGGATATTGTTGTGTTCAAGGCACTTGTGTGAATATTGTTGTGTTCAAGGCACTTGTGTGGATGTTGTTGTGTTCAAGGTACTTGTGTGGATATTGTTGTGTTCAAGGCACTTGTGTGGATATTGTTGTGTTCAAGGCACTTGTGTG